CTCAGAAGGTGGTAGTAAAGAAATTGTAGGGAGTTTTGAAGAGCTAATTAAAGTGACTTCTTAAAATTCATCAACTCATTCATTTATTCTGAAGTCACGATCTTATGACTTATGATCTTAGGAGTAAGATCATAAGTCATAAGATCTTATGATCTTACTCTGGGTCGAATTCTAGTAGACAATGAGAATTCATGGATGAACATAGCACATTCCTTACTCTTATGGAAAGCACACTTTGGTGGGAAGATGTACAGTAGAGATTAATTTTAAAGATTTGGGACCTTGTCCCTGGACCCTGAAAATAACTTTCTAAGTCCTTGGAATAGTTTATCTAATAAGCGTGTTTCTGTGTAACTGTATGTCTTCGGCCACGTCACATAACCTATGCTAACAATATGTTTTATGGCAGGGGGCCTTGGGCCATTCTGTATCAGCTATGCCTTTAGAAGGGCTGGAGCCTATGGTCAGCCATTATGTAGTCTTCTGTGTCTACGTGGATGACTCCCAATAAATACTACGGACTCCAGGTTCAGGTGCACGTCTCTGTTTGGCAACACTCAGGAAGAAGTAAGTGCTGTCTGCACAACCCCAAATGGGAAAGGACAACTGGAAGATTATGCCTGGAATTCTCCTGGACACTGCCCCATGTACGTCTCCTGCTGCTGATTTTGATCTGTATTCTTTTATTGTAATGAGTCATATATCTGAGTATAATGGCTTTTCTGAGTTCTGTGAGTCCTAGCAAATCATTAAACCTGAGTTTGGTTTTGGGGACCTACTAAACCCTCTGAAGAACAGACATGTGAATGGCACAGGGCATACAGATACATTCCCTGTGCCATAGGGTCCAAAGGAAGGTCATATAACCTAGTCTGAAAGTTCTGGAGAAGTTTATTAGAACAAAGAAAGTATAAAGTGAATCTTACATATGATTAAGGAAGAAGAAATGTTATTCCAGGCAGAAGGAAAAGCAAAAGCAATGTTGGGAAGAGAAGATGGAAAGGTGGAAGATTGAAAATAATTCTAGATAACTGGATAAACTGATATAGGATATAGCAAGAGATGAGTTAAAAATGAGAGAAGACAATAGTAGAGATCTTTGACATGTCTTGTCCCACAGGTGATAGGAAGCTATTGTATAATGTTAAGAATGGAAGTGGCACAGTCAGATTGCATTGATGTAGATCATTTCTTAGTACTGGTGAGGAGTAAAGATGTGAGACAAAGACATTACTCAGGAGGATATTGTAATATTTTAGGCTACAATGGTGATGGCCTGATAAAGACAGTGGTCACAGGCATAGAAAGGAGGCAATACTTTCAAGAAACAATTAAGATAAGGAAATAACACATCTTAAGCTCTAATTGGATTTAGAAATTAAGAAGGAGGTTAATTTTATGATGAAATCTACATGTGGGTAGATTGAGCAGAGGATGGCAATATCATTTTCTGAGATAGAATATGCAGTGAGAAAAGCATGCTTAAGAGGAAAGAGAAGTTCTTCTGTGGAAGTGCTGAGATTTAAGCACCAGTGGGATCTCAGATAGAAATGTGTAGTGCCACTTAAGCATTAGGGTGAAGAACCCAGACAAGTGGGCTAAGCTATAGGGCATGCCGAAGAAATGTTGACCTCAAAATCCATAGATTTTATTAACTATTTCAAGGAATAATAAAATAATAGCTCTTCAGTATTAAAAATAACACATCTCTGTTAAAAATGACTGTGGAGTGGAGAGTAGAAAGCAGTTATTTAAAATGTGAAATATATTGTAATCATTGGTGATACGGCAGATCTCTACTCCATACTAACAAATAAACTAGCAGATTTTTAAAATAATTTTGTTCACAAAGGATCAGATGATAGAATGAGGCTGGCTCAGGAAAGATTCATACCCATAACTAGCAAAGCAAAAATTTACATTGCAGTTTCTGTTGAACGAATGCTGTCATCTTAATATGTCAGTCATCCTATCTCCCTCAAAACCAGTGAGTTTTTTTCCCTGAAATTCTAGCCAATTCCCATTTAGTGAGAAAGTGTGGTTTAGTGAAAAGAGGGATATTCTGGAATCAGGAGATCTAGGTATTAGTATTAGCTGTCAGAAACGAAGTCCAAAGAACTGCAAGGCCTTTCTCCATAAGTATCAGGAACTGGGATTTGGATCTGCAAGGAACAACTCCTACTTGATTAATTTACTTTGAAGGGCCTAGAACTCCTGGTCTTCCCACGCTATGAATTATAATTATATAATCTATGATTTGACTATGAGTATTGGTGCTTTTCCTTACCCTACACCATTTTGTGTATGTGATTATCTAAACTTTGTATGTAACTTCATTTGATTCTTAGGGGGTAATGTCCAAACTCTTGCCTTTTTGCTCCCCTGCTTTAGAATTTCTCACCCAGCTATGACAATCATGGAGGCCTTAACCCTTACATGGTCCGGTCAGTATGCCAGTTTTAGCACTCTCTTCTGATGTGACCCAGGGAAATTTATGTTACCTCCACTGAATTTTTCTCATCTAAAAGAGATTTGGATCAGAACAATTACTGAGATCTCTTCCCGTTCTGTCATCCTATGAGTTCATGACAGATGCAGTGATATAATATTTGAGTCAACACTTCAAGGATAAATTGAATTTTGCCAGAGTGAAAAAGGAACAACGACTCTGAATGGAGAAGCAATAGGTTGATATGATGTAAATAACAATATATGCATGATGATGTATAGGTGAAAATCAGTAGACCTAGATGATTGAACCTAGATAAAGGGTGAGTGTGAGATGAATGGAGATATGGTGCACTTGGGCAATAGTAGAACATGAAACTCCCAAATCACCAAAGATCCAGACAGGAACCCAAATTTCCATACCAATCTACACTCAGAATTCCAAGAGATCAAGGCCAAGAATTGCACTAAAGAGAGGCCTTCTAAGATCTTTCACACCAGATAAAGAGGTCCATAGTCAAATAAGCCTGAGAAACAGACATTCATTATCTTCCTCCTGAAAATGAAATATGCACTTCAATGTTTTAAAGAATAGGGAATTTCAGGCCAGGCGCAGTGGCTCACGCCTGTAATCCTAGCACTCTGGGAAGCCCTGGCGGGCAGATCGCTCAAGGTCAAGAGTTCGAAACCAGCCTGAGCAAGGGCGAGACCCCGTTTCTACTATAAATAGAAAGAAATTAATTGGCCGACTAATATATAGAGAAAAAAATTAGCCAGGCATGGTGGCGCATGCCTGTAGTCCCAGCTACTTGGAAGGCTGAGGCAGAAGTATCACTTGAGCCCAGGAGTTTGAGGTTGCTGTGAGCTAGGCTGATGCCATAGCACTCATTCTAGCCTGGGCAACAAAGCGAGACTCTGTCTCAAAATAAAATAAAATAAAGAATAGGGAATTTCTACAGTGAAAAAGCCCATCAACTTTGTTTAGCTCAGCATTTCCCAAATTATTTAGCCTTGGACTATTCTCTCTCTATTTATTTTCATTCTGTCAATTAACACACGAGGGCATGTGCTGTTTTAGTGTGGTGAAACATATACCTAAGTTTACAGAATCTAGGACATCAGAAATGTTTGGATGCAAAATCGGGTTTCAGGTGCTACCACAGGGAAGGTCCATTGCCTCATTGTTCATGACTTTCTATCAAAGGTAAACCCTTAAAGGTGGGAACCCACCCAAGCTAGTTTCTTCCCAAAAGAGAGCCTCCTTGATTCTCTACCCTTATTCCTTTTATCTTCCCAGTTAGGGATGTCATGGCAGTTCAGAAGCCTGTGGATAAATAGAAAGTAGCATCAGCTGTTTAAAGAAAGGACTTATTGAGGATAAAGTGGCAGGTGGAGTCCAGATAAAAACATCTCAAGCCACCTTAGGCAGACCACAAAGAGAAGCCACTTTTTCAGAGTTTTAAAGTTTGCTGGCCTTTCTCTGTGCGATGCACTAACATAACAGGTTTGACTCACCAGGAGATGACGCCAACAGCACTGGGAGTTTGAAAAGGCACTGCTTAACCTTGCTAAGAAATGCTGGTTTTAAGAACAGCTGGAATATTGCTTTCTGATCCTTGACCATCAGCCCAGCAAGGACGAGAGATGTTTTGATGAAGAACAGAAAACTATATATATATAAAAAAATACTTCATTGGGAAAATAAATCTGATGAATATTGACAGCATTGGGGTAAATGACTTAAAACAATCCTTTTGTATATAAGTAAAGGTGGCACCATAACTGCAGGAATCTAGAGATGTACATTGTATATAGAGACTGTTTCAAAGTATCTTTCCCCATTGACATTTTAAAGACATATTTTTAATCTGCTTTTTAATCTGCTAGTATTCACGCTTTATTACTGACAACTGAAACAACTGGTTGAAGGATCACATTATCAATCTGGTGACTCAAACATGAATAGCGACTACTTCTTTTTGTTGCATGAAATGCTTGAAGTAAGAAACACACAGATAATAATGACCTTTGTAGGCAAACACTGAAATAATGACTGGGGAGGGGGAACTGTAGGTTGTAAAAAGATAAACACAATGCCATGGATTTATTGAATCCTACTATGTGAAAAACACCTAGACAGATTTAAAGAAAATGAAGTAGCAGGGAATTTAGTTTCTGCGGTTTCAGTTAAAGCTGATTTCTGCAAGAAGCAGAAATCCACTGGAGGTAGTTCAAATAAGGAGGGGTTCATTGCATGGAAGAATCTCTTATGACTCAAGGGCATAAAATAAGGTACAAATTAGCCTTTTGGGAACTGAAAAACCATTAGGAACAAAACAAACACTTCTCTACATGGCTAGGATTTGTCCATATGCAACTCTATAGTCTCTTTTTCTCTTAGAACGTTGAGCAGCACATGACTTTGCCTTATAATGGTACTGATTCCAGCCTTGGCTTCACAAAAACATTAGGTCATAAGAGAATGCATCACAATCTCTCAGTTTAAATTCTCTGCTCAGAGAAAATTTGATGGTTGCTGGGCAAGAAAAGGACTGAAGGACTTCAGGATAAGCACCCATCTCTGTCCAGAGAGCTGGGACTGAGTTGCAAGTGTACTTGGTTTGGTTTGTGATATGTACCGGTGGTCTCTCTATGAACTATGAAAGGGCTAGGTCTTTAGATGGGACAAACTATTAAATATGTCTATTATATTATACGTATCCTTAGAAAGCTTATTTTACATGAGAAAAGAAGGCAAAAGATAGCAGGGAAACTACTAGGTAACAGATAATAACATCCTATGAGATACAGATATGAAGGTATACTTCAGGTAGGATTTGATCTTATAATTAGAGGATGGGGGAGTCAAACAGATAAAAAAGTGAAAGGGAGAGTGGGGTAGAAGAAATGGTTATGAGACTAATTATACATATACTAATGCATAAAGAATCTTAAGGGAAAGTATTGATTCATTTAGGTAACACAAATATTTTTTGAGAACTTTCTCAGCTCTGGACAATGCAGCAATATATGCTATGAATATTACATTGGTTCAAAAATATTTATTGAGCATCTACTCTGTGCCAGGCACCATTCCAGGGACTAAAAACACATGAGCAAAACAAATTCTTTGCCTCCAGGGAACTTTTATTTTAGTAGAGGGAGATAGGAAATAAAATTTTAATTTTTTAGGTGTTGTTAAGTGGTATACAATGGCTAGTTAAATGAATAATTAATATAAAACCTCAGATTTATTCTTCAGAACAGCTTCCTCCATGAAGCAGGGAACTTGATTATTCTGGAATTCTGGGTTTATATTCTCACATTTTTATAGACTAGAGACCATAATTTTTTGAAAATTACAGTTAGAAAAATCTTAGGAAAAAGTCTTAATATCCTTATTAGAGTTATATCTATTCTTCATCTCTTTTATTAACCAAACACTGTAGTTAGGAGAATAGGGTATTATGACTTGTGTGTCCATCTCTCTCTAGTGTCTGTAATCATGTGAAAATCTTTCCATCACTTGCTGCAGTCTAGGAAGTTTTACTGAAGTATTCCATGACTCAGTCTGGGACCCAAACTCTCTTCATATGTAATTCCATTCAGTCTGAGAGTTTTAAATAATGTCTTAATACTGCTGACTCTGAAATTTTTACCTATCATTTTATGCCAAGATTGTATCTCTTTTAACTTTACTGGATATTTTATTGGCATCTTAAATCTGAATACAAAATTGTATTCTTGAGACACCTTCCTTTGTCTTCTCATATAAATAAACAATCACACTTTTCATTCGAATAACCAGGCAAAATCAAGTCTCTACCCTGGATTTCTACTTCCCTTAGTCTTTCTTCCCATGCCAATTCATAAACAAATCTTGTTCACTATGCCTTAAAAATATATATTGAATTCATTAATTTCTATCCATCTCTAATGCCACATCCTATTCATAGCTATGGTCACCTTTCACTTAGTGATAGAGAAATGGAAAGTTCCATTTGACAAGAAAACCTCTCTCCTTGGGCTCCATGTAACCACTAACCTGCTGCCACTCTTGCTTTTGTAAACCACTTGCAGCAACTTCCTGCTATGACAAGATAGTATAGAAAGAAATTCTATAGAAACCTTAAACCAGGAATTAAGGTTGTTCAAGACCCTGCCCCTGCTAACCACATTGAAACTGTGCCCCACTTCTTCCCTAAACAGAATGTATAAATGACTGCTACACTTTTTGTTTGGGGCTCAGAATTTGATGGTGAGTACCCTCTGAGCCCGCTTGGTGTAATAAACCTGTTTATCTACACCCTTTAAGTGCCCCTTGGTTTGTTCTCGGTCTACTCTGTTATAACATTAGAACATTGCTGCAAACTTGAAATTGGGCCCTCTGTTTCTATTCTAATCCATTTTTTCCCACTTAAGTCAGAGTGCTCATTAGGTTGTATTGGTTTTCTGCTTTCAACATTCTATAGTCTTCCTATGACACTCAGAATGAAACCCAAGTCCTTTACCTGGTACTGTGAACAGCACCCAACTGAACACTGATCATAGGGAACGTTGCTGAAAAAGGAAAACATATCAGCATAAGATAATAGAAACCAAACAAATTAAATAAGTAGATGCATGGGAAATGTACTCATCTGCAAGGTATTGTAAAGAATAATAAGGAATTGCCAAAGGTTTACATTCTTCTGACCACAGAAGTAGAGGCTAACCAAATAAATTTGGGTTATCTGCAAAGGTTGAATGGCTCATGTTCCACATCTTGTTGCCTTGGTGATGAAGCACCTGCATAATGATATTTATGCAATAAGTAGAATAGCCACATGCAAATTCAAGGCAGATCAAAGCATAGCCTATGTATCTACACTTTGGAGGAATATATATATATATACCTCCAAAGAGTAGATACACATATATATATATATATATATATTTTTAGAGGTTCTGCAGCAGAAAAATAATATAAAGAGGAAAATAATGTAATTTAGAGGTGATTTAAAGGCTTGAACGTCACTGCCCCTGATCTTAGTCATAGATACTGTAAACTATATATTAATATTTTTAGCATCTGTGTCACAATTCCATTCTTCTCTGATTTATTGTTGAATGAAATTAAATCCTGGAATGAGTAAAAAGTGAATAACTTTCTCTATTTTCTCTATGAATTTATATGATATTCAGATTTTATTTCATATTCTTTTGAAGACATTCATATAATTTATTGTCCCAAACTAGAGCACAATTGAAAGTAAAAAGGGGTACTATTAGAATTACACAAAGGTACTATTGAAATTAAATTATAAGAGGTATAATTCTAATTTCTAGCTACTCTAGAAAAATTGGGATTTATGTATGGTTGCCTAGTTATTCTCCTCTTTGGATACTATGTTTCAGATGTGCTTGTTTTCTTCTGTTTTTGCAAACATACCACATTCATTCTTGTCTTGGGTTATCATAGCAACCTCCCTTTATCTTGAATATTCTTCCGTTAGATTGTTATGTAGAAATCAGATTTTGGACATTGATGCCTTAAAAGTCACCTCTAAAAAGAGTCTTCACTGGCAGCCTAATCTAAAGTATATTAAGTCATTCTTCATTACATGAATTTTTCCATTATATGCATATTATAACTTCACTTTCATACTTTCTTTTTGGCTTATTGAATACATCTCCAAACTACAAAATAAATTCCTTAACACTGTATCCCAGCTATCAGAGGGTAAGTGCTTAATTAATCTTATGAAATGAATTAATGAATAAATGAAATCAAGTAGTTATCATGTTGGGGTCATACTGAAAACAATCATTTATACTTAGTCCCATGAAATTTAGATTTGGTACTCACACTTTTTATATTAAAAATCCTTATTATTATTTTGTTTGCTATCTCCTCATTGCCTGGAATTTATCTTGAGTATGTGTGTATATATATATATATATATATATATTTTTATTTTTTTTTTTTTCCACAAGGAAAAACATGTCTGCCATTGTTCTTAGTCCTTGTATGGCTTTTTTTTTTCCTTTGGATTTCCTTTCCATATGAAATAAAGTTTAATTGAGCATAGAAACTCTCTAGAGGTTGTTCCATTGTCTTCCGGAATTTAAATATAGAGACACAGAGACTTCATTCTCTGGCAAACCCAATTTTTCTTCCATAGTGCATAATTCACCCCACTCTCATTCCAATTCCCTGGTCTACAGGTGAATTTCTTCATTCTGAATCTTCAAAATAATTCTTTTTTGGGCTTTTCCCAGGATTGCTTACTTTAGTTTCTCAAATGAGTAGCTGTGATTTAGAAACAGTGTTTTTTGGCTTGGAAAAGCTTAATTTTATTCTATTCAAGTTACTATTTTTTTAAAAAAAATTTTGAATGTCTTCTATTCTTTCCTTTAGAAATGCAAATTTTTATCAACTGAAATCCAGCTGTCCATTTACCCCATTGCCTCTCTCCTGTTACCTCAGTAGTGTTTCTCTTACTATTCATACTATATTAATTAATTAATTTTGTATTTTCCCTCCTTATTTTGTGGGAGCTTCACAGACTTATTCTTAACACCATTTTTTTTTTCCTGCTGTGTAGATTCTGGATCTTTCATCTTTTTTTTTTTTTTTTTTAGACAGAGTCTCACTTTGTTGCACAAGCTAGAGGGAGTGCCATGGCGTCAGCCTAGCTCACAGCAACCTCAAACTCCTGGGCTCAAGCAATCCTACTGCCTCAGCCTCCTGAATAGCTGGGACTACGGGCATGTGCCACTATGCCCGGCTAATTTTTTTCTATATATATTAGTTAGCCAATTAATTTCTTTATATTTATAGTAGAGATGGGTCTCACTCTTGCTCAGGCTGGTTTTGAACTCCTGACCTCGAGCAATCCGCCCGCCTTGGCCTCCCAGAGTGCTAGGATTACAGGCATGAGCCACTGCTCCCGGCCTGGATCTTTCATCTTCTAATACTCATTTTAATCCCATAAATAAATTTTTAGCTTCTTTATATTTCCCTTATAAAGTGGTCTTTTGTATATTATTATTTCCTGTGTCTAAGCTAGGTCCTTTTTATTTGCCATGTCATATTATCTGATTCTTCATCTCTTATTCAAAGTTTGTTTTTCATTCATAACATTCAACAGAAATATTTTTAAAGTATGTGTTTTTTATGGTAAATATTTTTGAAAATATCTCCTTCCTCTGCATCGTAAGTATCATCATCATTTGCTCCAGTACATATATCTAAAACTAGATATCAATCTAATGCACTAAAAAAGAGAGTAACAGAGACTGAAATAAAAGTAAAGAAAAAAGGAAGACTAGCGACCTGTAAATCTCTGAATAGACAGATTAACTTTGAAGAATCTGAGGCAGTGTGGGGATTTCAATGAAATTTCTCTGTTTGTTTAAGTGCGAGTGAGAATAGTAAAATGAAAGAAGTGAAAATGGAACAGAAGCCTTGTCATTTCTGGAATAGTGGAGGATTGTGACAAGTAAAAGAAGTTGTGGATTCTTCCAAGACTTTTCCAATTCAAGTTTCCAGAGTTGGAGCACAGTTCTTTTTTCCTAGTGGCCTTTTATTTAAAAAAAGAAAAAAAAAAAAAAAAGAAGAAGAAGAAGAAGAAAAAAGAAAAGGAAAAGAAAAAAAATGGAAGCAGACAATGAGGTCATATTCAAGAGAGGGTGGTAGCGGGATTGATATCTGGGGATGGAAAGAGTCTCCTGTGGGCTGCTAGTTCCAAGAAGTTCAGGTAAGGCAGTGCTTCAATTTTCATTTCAAGGAAACATTCATTAATTGATAATAGATGCACTTTCCCCTGGATATTATTCTTCTGCTACTTAAAGTGCTTCACTTCAGATCTCATACCTTAATATCTATGGACAAGTTTTAAAATTAATTTTATATATCTCCCCAATAGCTGTAGGTAAGCTAAACATCTACTACTTAAGTTGTTACAATCTTTAGCGGTCACAATTTAGGTTTTGCAAACCCTTTTGCTGGTTGTGTTAAATAATTCATCCAAACAGCAGTCCTTCAACAAAAAACATAAGTGGTTACTATCATAGACTTCCTATGCTAGGTGCTTTTGAGATTCACATAGAGATTTCTGCCCTTCAAGAGATCAAAACCTATTATAGCAGGGAAGACAGGCATAACAGTATAGGACAGTATGACTTTTAAATTGCGAGCAATAAATCCCATAAAACAATGATATTCATGTTCATATCCCATACAATAATTTGTGTAGTGCCTAGAACATAATAAGTGCCCTATAAACATCAGAATTTCACCTATTTGTTTTCGTCTAAGCTTGATCTCTAAGGAACTCATATCAGCTCTTTGAGGCTATAAGATTGATTTTATATCAATATCTTTAGTCTTTTTCAACTAGCAAATGATTGGGTGCATTGAAATTGATGACTAGGTATCTGTTTATGGATTTAATGATTTTCCAGCAAATTATAATTTCCTTAGGATAGCATTCCTATAACATTAAAGGTCTTCTAAGAAACTTTTAGATAAGCCCACCTACTAATATGAGCTAAAAATCTTAACACGAATGATTAGATAGCTTGCTTCTGTTATTTTCAAATGTTCAGCTTAAAGTGAAGGGTTATTTTTCCTGTGGTAGGAGCACAAAATCTATTCTCATAACAATATTTAATTCAATAACAATATACAACAATATTTAATAACATATTATTTTAAAACATAGTCACCATGAACTCATTTCTCCCATCTAACTGAAATTTTGTGTCATTTGACCAACACCTTCCTAATCCCTATACCGTCCACTCCCATTCTCTGATGACCACCATTCTACTCTTTGCCTCTAATAGCTTAACTTTTTAAGATTCTACATATAAGTGAGATCATGCAATATTTATCTTTGCATGCGTGATCTAGTTTGCTTAATATGTCTTCTAGTTTCATCCATGTTGTCACAAATTACATTTCTTTCTTTCTTAAGGCTGAGTACTATTCTATTGTGCATATATACCATATTTTCTTTGTCCATTCACCCATTTATGGACACTTAGGTTGATTCCGTATCTTAGCTATTGTGAATAATGCTGCAATTGAAATGAAATGCAGAGATCTCTTCTACATACTGATTTTGTAATCCTTTGGATGTATACCCAGTAGTGGGACTGTTGTATCATATGGGAGTTTTATTTTTTAACTTTTTGAGGAAACTCCATGCTGTTTTCCATAATGGCTCTCCTAATTAATGTGAAGGTTTTCATCATTAGAGAGATAAGTTTGGGAAAAAGCAGAAAATATATGAAACAATTATCTTTGATATGAGAGATCTAATCACAATGTTTTGATAAAAAGTGCTTGATGCTTCTGCTATTGTTAATTATGAAGATGGTTATTGAGATGGTGTTGATGAGGGTGGTGGTGAAGCAGGTGATGGCAATAATGAATGCTGCGATGTTAATACAGTGCTATCTCAAAAATTAACAATGAAAATGCTGTGACAATATGCACAATGATGAGGTACTGCTGATGGCTGATATTGGTGATATGGCAAGGACATATGTGATGATAATGGTTCTTCGCTCCTTCACACTGTGAATTCTACCTGGGCAGACTGGACATGCCCATCCCAGTACAGTGCTAACTTGTACTTGGTACAGATACCTAATTCTTGGGATGAGTATTAACAAGCTGGCTTGTCAGCAGATTAAAGCCACATATTCAAACTTAGTCTCTATCAGTTATAAAGGTGATACTTCAGTATCCTTATTTTTGATGTTATCCTCATTTTTTTTCCATAATTCACTAATGGAAAAGGGAATTTCATTTGTTAAGGCCTTGTTTGGAACTCTCCAAATTAACTAGGAGTTAGATATACTGTACCTAACATTGCAGAATAAATCACTAATTTAAATCCAGGTAATTCTGCTTATCTTTCATGCAAAATACATTACGCAAGTGAATAGTGCAAGTATTATGGTGTAAATTATTCCATTCCACTAAAACCAGATGTCCAAGGAACAAATCAAGCTTTCTTGCTAAAGAAGGAACCAATAGATTCAGATGGCAATCAGTTTTGCAGATAAGAGTGGTGACATTTGTGTCACATATTTGCCGTCATTGATATAGACAGTAAGCACACTAAATTAGGGCACTAAGAAAAGGAAAGGAGAGCATATTGCTCTCAAATATATTTACTTTGCTCTGTCCTTGCAATTCACACCTCATGTAAGACCTCATATGGCCCAAGTTATTAACAAGCTCTATTTGGAGATTCTTGAACTTAAGGAGAAAGTCATTAATCTTCTGAAAAGAACCTACTTCTCATCAAATTAAGGCAAAGATTCACTAACCCAAAGCAGTTTTGTGTCCTACATATGTATGTTCCAATAACTCTGATGATTGGCAGAGTGAGCTAGAATTCTATAGGAAGAATTTACTGGGTACACAATTAAATTCGATGCAATACAACTAGCTTAATTGTGTTTTTTCCATGCTATAAGAATATTTCTGGGGAAGTAGATATAAGTAAGATATGGAATTGACTCTAAAGCTCTTACCAGTCTAGGAAATGAGTCTAAAATGTCAGCAAATCATTGTAGTTAAGCATGTAGGAGCCAGAACAGAAGCATAAAAAAGAATGATTTACTCCAAAGAGGTTCATATGTTGGGCAAGAGAGAAGAAAAACATTAGAAACCAAAGTAATAGCAAGAGCAAATGCTTGCAGTAGATAAAACGAAATGACATTGTCAGAGGGCCACACATATTGTAATATTGCTGAAATATAAAAAAGACAGAATTAATTTGGAGAGGAAAGCAAGGTCCAGGTTATGACAAGCTTTGTCTGCAATCTTAACAGACTTATTGTAATTTATTCTGTAATGAAGCAGAGCCATTTTATGGGTTTAAGCATAGGATTAAACATCGTATTTCCATTTTAGAAAGATTATAGGTAAGGCAAAGTAGAGAATGGCTTGAATGGGGTAAAGACTATAAGTAGAAATATGACTGTTAAAACCTTTCAGGTAAGAAAAGTCATGACTCTTCATGCAGGAGATTAAACTAGGATTCATCTTTTGAGAAAAATGCATGAATGGAAAAAGTGATAAATTATGGGTAATGAATCTCTGCCCACATCGTATCTCCATATCTCCTTATTTGGACTTAGTCTTAAATTAATACTAATCATTTGCGTTTGTCCATTTTTAGAAATGTATGTATTTTTGGAATGTGGGTGAGAAGGGAGAAAAACAAATAACCTTGTAATTTTTTTTTTTTGTAAAAGGACTAAGGCTGGGCTTGGAAAGCAAACCAAAGTAGAAAAGCAGACAATGAAGTATCAATGGAGTTTCAACTCAAGGACTCCAGCAATGAAACAGCCAAAAGACTAGTTCAAAGGCTGGTTTGGGATCATCGATCTGATCCATGACTTGTGATCTTTTGACCCATGACTTGTTCATCCTGACTGAGCCCTTCAAACAAGGAGCTCACCATAACATCAGGCTCCAAAAAGTGAATAAAATGAAATCCCTGTGCAGACCTGGATTTCTGAAAGACCCATATCTCATACTACTTTCTGTCCTGAATTAGCTGTCCACGTAGGCAACTCTACTCCATTACTTACCTCAACCTTAGAATTTGTTGTTATCTATCGAAGCATTTGTCTTTGTGTACTATTTATGCAGTCACCCTCTGAGTGCCTTGAAATTGGCCTCTTAACAGTGATACTTCATTTCCAGACCTTTCTCCAGCTAGTCATGACATTCTTTAGAGTCATTATATTGATATTATGATTATCATATCAAATTATTCTGTTAGAAAATATTATAATTATTGTTACAGTGGCATTATGAATATTTTAATGATATAATGTGTTGTGTTAGGCAGCTCTGGTGTAGAGAAAAGAGCACAAGGTTTAAAGTCAGACTTATGTGAGATACGGTACACACTGATTTCTATTTAGTTGTATGATTCGTGCAGCCAAACACATGTGAGCATATTTCTCACATGTAATACAACAGGAATACCTGTCTCAGGGGAAGGATGCCAGGGGAGCTGAGGAGCTTAGCATTGTACCTAGCACTCTTTTGTCATTCTTATGGTCATTTTATCTGAAAATTTTTCCCAATGGGACTAAAAAAATTATTGAGGTCACTATTGTAAACTGAAAAAAAAACATGGTCAAGGCTATGCTGAATATTACTATGTATTTGAATAATCCATTCTCAGATAGTTTCAAGATTTAAACAACAAAGAAACTCTATCCCACAGACAATGTCTTCTCTATCTTCATTTTTACCCCATACTTTACGGACACTTCCTATTAGTAGATATGTAATTGTTGATTGAAAAACAGGTGGTATTGGAGGCTACATCATTCTTCATTTTGAGAGCAACAGACACTTTAAGGGAGGTCACATCACTAAATCATATTTCAGTGATGGCATCGGATTTTGAAAATATTCACTTATTTCCCCCATTGAAAAGATAACTGGGAAAATACTAAGCACATCTATTTGTTCACAGAGAAATACTCGACTTTGCTATGAGACTTGCAACCAGCAATAAGGAAATGCTGTGAATTTCAGCTGAAAGTGCCCCTGGGAGACTACAAGTAAGGTAAACATGACAGGGAAATGTGAGCAAAAGATTTGCCAGTCAGCTGCACGCCTTTTTAAACCGTTTCAGGAACATGACACATTTCCCTCTTCAAATTGGGATGTTTTGGAAACGTCAGGGGTCTCTCTCTCTCTCTTTCTCTCCCTCCCCCCTTTTGTTTGAGCTCATCTTAAACTCTCCTCTTTGATATCAAGTCGATTTCGGCTTCCTGTTATGGGAGATTGGGAATTGAAAGCCAATGTATGGAAAATTCTGGCTATCAAAAAGAGAAGCTACAAATGGCCCCGGAGCCCTCCCAGCCCATAATGCCAGGGATGAGCATAAACAGGAAAGCGGCTTGGATGACAGCGACTGACTCACCGTGTGCGCTTGGGACTTGTTTTGCAGTTCACCTGGCAGGTGCAATTATGTCGGCAGAGAACGGGATGAAAAAATGACCTTTGAAGGCAGCTCTGGGGTGTGGGAGTTATGCGTGGAAACCTTATTAGACATCGGAAGCAGAGCTTCTGAAATAATAATCCAAGTGTAAAATAGCACCTCTGGATAATTGTAGCATAATACAATAGTTTTGGCAGGAAAATTTGAAAAGAGATACTGGATAAAATGTGAATTGAAACTCTATATTCTTACAGGAAATTTCATTTAACTTCCTGAGACTTTTCCCATTTGAAAAATCCAAGAAATTTAGTTGGATTTTAATTAGCTGCATTTATGTGAAGTTTTTTGGCTTTGTATCAGTAAAATCAAATATTAGGTTGAAATAATCAAACAGTATATATGTCTGCTACATAAAATATACTGGATTAGGCAATAAGGCATTATAAAGGTAAATTATTTATAAATTACTTATTTATAAGTTTTATTTCACCTACTTCCAAAATTTATTTTGAAGTAATACACATGTAATGTTTCCTTAATAAAATATAAATATGTCATCCAAATTATATTAAAGGAAGGAGAATAATTTGTACTAATATCCTGGAAAATGTTGATTATTGTTTTTGATCTGATCTGATCTGATATTATTCTGATATTTCTGACACATCTAAGGTAAAGAGTGGAACATGAATGATAATATCACTTCCATGACCTGACTAAAGAAAACATACAACTATTTTAGTATAAGTAAGCTTTTCTATGATGATTCGTTCTTAAAAGATTTTACTATGTGTGGCTCCCTATATAAGAGCAAGAACATGAAAAACTGTCAAAGCACATATAATCTAGTGACTGAATTATATGGTGGCTAAGGGTATAGGCTCTATTCTAACCATTGTATTAGGCTCAAATTCCTATTCTACAGTTTATCACTAATTGACCTGCAGTAAATTTTAGCTTTCTTCTCCGTGAAATGGATTAACAATAATAATAGCTAATATTTGTAGAGTGCTTATAATGTGATAGGTTCTCTTCTAAATGTTTTCTATGTATTAGCTCTTTAAATCCTCACAACAGTCTACAAGGTTAGAATTATGATTAATCCTCATTTTACAATAAGAACACTGAGGTACCGACTGATTACTTAACTGACACATATCATAGTTAGCAAGAGATTTCAGTAACTACTTCATGGAGTTATTGTAAAATTTAAATGTGATAAGTGTTTGGGAACAGTGTTCAAAATGTGGTAAACATTCAATAAATGTTAACCGTCATGTTCATTATTATTAAAGAGACGAAAGAATAATAAATTGATTTAAACTATAACACAATTTAATAATAAAATTGCATTACATGTTCTGTTTTCAAATATACTGATGCTAGTTGATAAAGAGATAATACTATATATAAGAAACTGATAGTACTTTAGCTAGCGCCCTCATTAATTGGGTCATATTTTCAAAGGCAAGGTAAGATGGTCATTGTAGGGAAGAAAAACAGAATGACCAATATGCAAGGGTAGAAAACCATAGCAGATATCCAATGAAAGAATGGCATAAAACATAAGGAGAAGAATATATTTTAGGGAAACAGATAACCTAAAATGCCAAGTTAAAAGATTTATGTGATTTTGAGACAATAGGAAGCTATTGAAGTTTGAACTGGAGTTGACAAAACAGGGCGAAATTAAGAAAATTAATTTAACTTAGCAGATAATGACTATGCGTAGGGATTTGATACCTGGGTATGTGGGTAGGAGGAGGATAATAAAGCCAGTCTGTATTATGATATAAGGATATGAGTTTCCCAAGGTTTAGTTTGGCACCCTATCACATGATTTTGTCTGGCTTTTTTCTTTGTTTCCTTTGGTTTGTTCTGTTTTTACTTTTTTATTCATAGTATTCATTTACTTTCTCATTTGTATTAGTTAAGGTCCCATAGGACATAGATAACATGCTAAAATTCAGAAGCATTTAATAAAAGGACTATTTATTAAGGTATGGGCAGGGTTAAGAAAAAGGGACAAGGAATTGTGTGGTAGTCGAGGCTTAGCTATACCAAAAAGTGAATGTTTAGGCCTAAATTGTGAAAAGGAACAAATAGTTACTAGAACTTGGTTCAAATAGTTGTAGCTGAGGAGAGCATTGCCTACAGAAGCAATGCTTCTCAGCAGAGGAACACTTTTAACCCAAGGCCACATGGAGGAGAGAAAGCTAAGGGAACAAATAGCCTAACCTCACTATCCCCTTACCAATCAATCTTTTGCCAGTCTCTTATATTGGATAAGCTCAACCAGTAGCCACACAACAGAGAGCCTATGGATTGTAGTCCATAAAAATGAGCCTCTTGAAACATAGAGCAGAATCATAAAGGTGAAGAATAGATCCAGAGGGGAAAACAGAAAATATCTAGCACAACAATGAAACTTCAAATTCAAATTGATGCCCATCTTTGGGGATGGCAAAGGCCACCAAGATCATAGCTGTTTTAAAGCTGAAATAGACTCTAAACATGATCTAGTTTTCCTTTTCCTGCTCTAACTCTTATCTAATAAATAGGAAATCAAAGCTCAGGTTCTCGTGAAGGTTATGTAGTCTGTCAGTCAGAGTGCAATGCAAGAAAAAGAAAGAACTCTAGATATTTCCAGAAGAAAAAGATTTTGCACAATTGGGTGTTTACAAAATTGTTGGAAATGCTGGAAGAGAGGGAGTAATTGAATTCAAATATACATGATCATGGCTGGTGTCCAGAACCACCACTACCACTAGCCCTCAACACCCAGAAAACAAACTATGACCCAAGATGCTAGAATTGTCTCTCAAGACTCAAGACTCTTTGATTTTGCTTACAGAATTGTGGCTGAAGAAAAATAGCTTCTATCTTGCTACCATCTTCCAAATTTCAGGCAAACATATCCAACTGGTAGAATGCAATCTCCATCCAGAACCCTATTTACAAGAGAAACTAATAAAGGTAGCTTTTATTTTTCCAGATTTGGAAATATGATGAGAAGACACTTAGAAGGAGATGGATGCTGAGTGCCAGGCAATCACAGCTTGTACTGGGTAGAGATGAACGACCTACTACATCTCCACAAATGGAATTCCTAGATTTCAGGGAAAACTAAATGAAACTAACACAATTGATAACTAAATGATAATTCAAAGGGTTTCCCCTTCAAGAGTATTTTAATTTATTGATAAAATGTTGGCTTCTATAAAATTCTAGGATGCAAGTGTTGCACATCACACAACATGGAACTCCAGTTTCTGTGCCAGAAAACTCAATGCAAAGACAAATGACTCCCTAAGTGTTTGTGTGTAGATGGATCACGTCTCAGTTTAGGCAACTCAAGCTGAAATTTTAACACAATTCTAAGCACTTAACTTATGTTATCTAATTTAGTTGTTATAAAATCCCAATAAAGTTTGTATTATTATTCTTATTTTACTTATTAGGAACATGAAGCTCAGGGAAATGAAGTAGTTTACTTAAATATGCACAGCTGATAAGAGACTGGGTTGAGAATTAAGCCTAGTTTTGTCTGATGCCATATATATATAACATTGTATTATTTTTTCTTATTCTCAAGAAGTTTCATTTTTCTATCAACAAACTGCTGGCCCAACAGGCACTTAGAAATCAGGGTACCTCTAGTAAGTGTTATATCAAAAGTGTTCTGAGTATTTCACCAATGCTGATACCAGTAAAGCGCTTCTCTTTTCAACCATATTTCCTATGTAGATTCTATCCAGCCTTTCCCATCCCCTGAGCCCCTTTCATTTTTAATGAGATGGGATCCTCCTTTTTTACTTGTTCTATTTCATAAGTTAATAATTTGATATTGGTTTTTACATTTGAATGAGAAGTTTGTGAAACCACCCACATGCTTCACTTTTAATTCTATTGCGAGGGACTGTGGAATTGGAAAGTAAAAGAAATGATGTTGACAAATGTATGCATAAGGTTGTCCCCTTCTGGCAGAGTAGCAGGTTGGTGGGGGTGTTGGTAAAATAGGTAAAATTAAATTCAATAGAATTTTTTCACATTATAAAATTCAATCTCCAGTGTCAAGCCAAGTAAGCCACCCACGCTATTTAATATTTTCCATCTGTTCAACTGTTCAACTCTGAAAACAGTGACAACTGATATATTAAAAAAGTATTTATATATTAATATGAGTTACGAGTTACAAATAATCTTGCAGTCAAGAGGAATTTTAAGGTAATATTAGCAATACTCCTAAGTGCATTAGTTTCATTACTGTTAGTACTAAGGACAATTGCTTTCCCCATCCTCTAAACACTATATTTCTCTTTTATATCCTTTCTGTACAGTCTCAATATTTGGTTTCATTTTATGGTTTATTGTTTATGTGTCTTTTATTGTATATCCTTTGAAATTGTTTTGAAAGAATGTTAAAAATTATGAACGATTTGTAATAAATTTTAAATATAGATGATCTGTAAATAAAATTTAGAATAACAAATAGCTATGCCTAGAGAAATATTAACTCTATCAGTTGTAAATAAAATGATAATTATATACTGTCTTTCAAACTAGAAAGAATGTTGGTAGAATATTATATACTTACAGTAGCTGAATATATCATTTTTAGTATATTTACTTTTTAAAATAAGCTTTTAAATTTAGGACAGTTTTAGATTTACAGAAAAATTGCAAAGATACTACAGAGTTTTTGTACATCAACCTGCACCCAATTTCCCTTATTGTTAACATTGCATATTAGCATGTTATATCTGTTTCAATTAATTAATTTTGATTTCCTTAGTTTTACCTAAGATTCTTTTTCTGTTCCAGGATCCCATCCATAAAACCATGTTACCATTTTGAGCTGTCATTTTTTTAAAGGTTCCTCTTGTCTGTGACAGTTGGTACATTTAATTTTTAACCCTAGAGAAATGACCAGTTTCTTTTGAAACCACATGGGAATCAAATAGCAAAGTATCTTGAAGAGTTATATAGAAAAATACAACCTAGCTCTGTTGCTTCTAATTTTTCCAGTGGTTTCTTTTGCTGATTGAATCCAGATAAAGCTGTCATCTACCTGTGTGACTTCCTTTGATTAACTGTTGGGGCTTTAGGGCATTGGTTTTCAACCATACCTGCACATCAGTATTACCTGGGTAGCTTTGAAAAACAGTGATGCCCAGGTTCCACTCAAGACTAATTAAGTCAGACTCTTTGAAAGAGCAACCTACGTAGGGTATTGCTGTGGTTTACAGCTCACCATGTGATGCCAATAAGAAGCCAAGGTTGAGAATTACTGTTTGAGCCTTCCCTACCAGAGTTATAAGAGTCTCTGAGAATCAATCTGAGTCCAGTTGGCACCTACTGCTTTGATCTCTTACAGCACTAGATCTAAGCCATGGCAGAGCTGGAAATCAACTCCTCTTGTGCCTTTTAAGGGAGACCATGTGTATAATAGAAAGGCATTGATCTAAGAGTTGGGAGATGTGGTTTTATTTCCTTCTGAGTGAATTGGACCACGTGTTCCATAACCTGTAATGGTTCCAACTGTTACAAGATTGGTCTAGATGATGCCTAAAAATAGGATGTGTTCATAATAGGTATGAATATTCTAATTTCATCATATTACTGCTATTAATATTCCTAAAGGTGACAATAGTGGAGGCTTCTAACACTCAAACAAAATATGTAGAAAAGGAAGGAGAATAATATAGGTACTTCTAATGCATTGTTTATCTTAGGTCAAAGAAAGGTTCCATTTATGAAAATTACAATGGCAATGACAAGACCTGTGTTCCTAGATGAATTTGAATTTCGAGGAATTAAAGTCTCCATGTAATTTAATCCCAAAGAGTATAGTTTGTAATCACTTCTTATTAGTGCATCCTCTTCATTGATGGAGCCTGAGAGTTAGCTATAAACATTCCAATTTCTGATACTTGCTATTTGACATGTGTGTGTTTTAAATATAAATGTGGTAGAAAGAAGGATTATTTATATTCTCAATAGCTCATTATGAGAAGGGGAGTTTTCAAACATTTACGCTATATAACCCAGGTTTTTAAAATATTAGATAGCTATTTTGAAATATTGGTAATTTAAACACATTGACCAATTCAGTTCAATATAATATGCATTTATTGAATACCAGTTATATAATATGTTACCCCAGGATAATAAAATAATAAAACTAGGGAACATCTAATGTCTATGGTGCCATTAACACAAATATGTCATGAGAAACATAAGAGCATTGTCTAAAATCAGGGTGTATATTTTTATATGTTATAAAATCATGCCATCCATACAGTTGAATGAATTTTTTCCCCTACATTTGTTAGGCTTTGCATCAAAAGAATACAACACAACATCACAGACTGTGTGTGTATCATACATATTCAACTACATTTATATATTCATCCACTGGAATAAGGACTCCTTATGATTTCCTTTAATAAAAAACATAATCTGCAGAGAGATAGGAACACTCATACATTGCTGATGGGACTGCAAACTAGTGCAACCTCTGTGGAAAGCAATATGGAGATACATTAAAGAGATACAAGTAGATCTACCATTTGATCCAGCAATCCCAGTACTGGGCAAAAGAACAAAAGACATTCTATTAAAAAGACATCTGCACTGTAATGTTTATAATAGCACAATAAACAATTGCAAACATGTGGAAACAACAGCCCAAGTGTCCATCAATACATGAGTAGATTAATGAAATGTGGTATATGTATACCATGGAGTACTATTCAGTTATAAGAAACAATGGTGATATAGCACCTCTTGTATTTTCCTGGATAGAGCTGGAACCCATTCTACTAAGTGAAGTATCCCAAGAATGGAAAAATAAGCACCACATGTACTCACCAGCAAATTGGTTTCACTGATCAACACCTAAGTGCACATATAGGAATAACTATCAGGTGTTGGACAGATGGGGGTGGGGGGAGGAGATGGGTATATACATACATAATGAGTGCGATGCATATCATCTGGGTGATGGACTAGCTTGAAGCTCTGACTAGGGGTGGGGGGCAAGGGCAATATATGTAACCTAAACATTTGTACCCCTATAATATGCAGAAATAAAAGAAAAGAAAAACAACCATAATCTTATGAGATAATTATGTGTTTGCCTTTTACAGATGAAGGAACTAAACCAAGAGAAGTGAGATCAACTGATTTAAGTTTTCAGAAGTATTCTGTGGTAGACTCAAGTATTCACCAATATGCATTTGACTCCAAAGCCCAGTCACTATATCTACTATTTTGGTAATTTATGAAAGAAAAGGTAAACAATTTGAATTATTTTGCCTTTTAATTTGGTAACTAACACATTAAAGATACTCTAAACTTAGGAATAGGAGATAGCTAAAGCTCATGGAATAGAGATGTTCCTCTAGAAGAGAAGAAATGGGTATAATACTAGGGAAATATGGCTAATGAAGATGACTTAAATTTGTATTGTTTAAATAATTTACATGAAAAATAAATATAAATTAATAATAACAAATTCTGAATGGTGAGAATATGAATATTTGCTATATTTTCTCTCTATATTTGTTCACATTAAAAGTATAGGAAAGCCATTATAAAATTTATAGTTTGTAAAAATAGCTCATTTATGAAAAATATGTTAGAATTATGATTGTTAGTAATCAACCTTGTTCCAAGTCTCACAATCTCAATTGAGGAAAGCAAGGAAGGCCCAGAAAGTTTAACTGACTTGTGGAAAAATTTATGTAGTACCTTATCCCAGGAATGAAATGTAATCAAATTTCTACAAATAGAATCAAATGAGAGGTGCCAGTAACTATGACCTGGCTCATGGTTACTAACTGCTTTTGTTTGAAAACTCAAGATGTTATTTGTTTTGTTTCATTGTTTGTTTTGACTTTTTCTTAAATGCATTAAAAGGAGCCTTTGGGGCCAGGCGGTGGCTCATGCCTGTAATCCTAGCACTCTGGGAGGCCCAGGCGGGAGGATTGCTCTAGGTCAGGAATTCAAAACCAGCCTGAGCAAGAACAAGACCCCATCTCTACTATAAATAGAAAGACATTAATTGGCCAACTAATATATATAGAAAAAATTAGCTGGGCATGGTGGCGCATGCCTGTAGTCCCAGCTACTAGGGAAGCTGAGGCAGCAGTATTGCTTGAGCACAGGAATTTGAGGTTGCTGTGAGCTAGGCTGATGCCATGGCACTCACTCTAGCCTGGGCAACAAAGTGAGACTCTGTCTCAAAAAAAAAAAAAAAAAAATCCTCTTATGAAATAGGAAAACTTACCTCAAATTTGAAACAAACTCAACCCTCCAGAAATTGAACCTAATGCCTTGAAGTGTAAACCAGTCTGTCTGTTGCTAATGGCTTAGGCCAAAGTTTCAAAGATAGTTCCTGGTATGCAGTTATGAGTCAATGGAGCTTTTGGTATGGAGGGATAAATTTGGTATGGTGGAAATGTTAATAAAGTGAGATGGGGGAGCTGGGGATTGATTGGAAGTGATAAGAGACTTCAGTTTGAGAGGAGAGCACCCCTGAGAGCAGGCCTGTTGAAATTTATTATATTGGGTGAATGGGATAGAAAAATAACTGTTTAAGTTCCAGAGACATATTGAACCAGAACCCTCAATAGCAACATAGTTTTATGAGTTGAAACATTGTACCATTGTATTCAGCACCTGTTCTAGTTCAGTTTTTTTTTTCCTTTGGAGATACTGTCTCACTTTGTTGCCCTGGGTGTGGAGTGCAGTGTCATCATAGCTTATTGCAATCTCACAGTCCCGGGTTCCAGCCATCCTCCTGCCTCACCCTCCCAAGTAGTTGGGACTATTGGGATGTACCAGCACACCAGTTAATTTTTCTATTTTTGAAGAGATAGGGTCTTGCTCTTGCTCAGGGTGGAAGTTCAGTCTTTATATAAATAACAACTTTGCATCCATGCCAAGTTTCCACTATAGTTGACCATTCAGAATAAATGACGTCTAATTACACCAGGAGTATTTATTTTGCCTAAGATCATCCCTGAAGGTTTCTTTAATATAGCAGTGTAACCAGAGGGAACCCTAGGGTGCCTCTTACAGTTGTAGCAACAAGTTTCAGCTTTTCTACTTTGTATTTAGGGGGTGGATTGAGTGAATTACAGGAGTCCATGCTGAAACAATGAAAAATGAGTCCTTCTATGGTATATAAGAAGGAAAGCTATTAATTATTTTTGACAATGTGAATATAAGCCCTCATTGAGTTGTCTTTTTGATAGTCTCTATTGAAAATGGGATCTTTTACTATAAAGACATCTGCACCTGAATGTTTATGGCGGCACAATTCACTACTGCAAGATCATGGAAACAACCCAAGTGTCTGTCAATTCATGAGTGGATAATTAAAATGTGGTATATGCTCACAATGGAATACTACTCAATTCTAAGAAATGACAGTGAGCTAGCACCATTCATGCTATCCTGAATTAAGCTTAAGCCCATTATCCAAAGTGAGGTGACACAAGATCAAGAAAATGGGCTCCACATCTACTCGCCATCAAATTGGTACTGACTGATAAAAACTATGGTACTCAAATGGTGATAGTGCTCACCAGGGTTTGGGGGAGGGGGAGATACACATCTTAGGGTTGTGGCGAGCATTATGGGGGGGGAGGGGATACCTCTAACCCTTTGTAGGGAAAGGCAAAGACATACAATGTAACCCAAAGGTCAAAAAAAGAAAAAAGAAAACTTTTATCGGGTGGTGGGCAGATGGGAGGAGCGGAGGGGAAGGATATATACTTACAAAATAGGTGTGATGCGCACCACCTGGGGGTAGGACACTCATTATGTTTTGGTAAGGGGGGGGAGGAATGGCAGGGGCAATATATGTAACCCTAACAATATTTGTATCCCTGTAGTATGATAAAAATAAAAAAAAAAGAAAATGGGGTCTTTGATAGTAGTGAATAGACATATTAATTGAGTTTTCACAAATATAGGAAGTAGGAGTTTTAGAATTTTAGTTTCCTGAAGGAAAGCTTTTAAGTTAAATTTAAAATAATGATATAAAAAATGAATTTAGGAGTAACTAAATGTGCACAGTATGTAGACTTTGAATTACCACTGTCAAGGTTAAAAGCACAGGAGACATTTCAAAACCTGGGATGAGATGTCTGTTCCTCATTTTATCCTTAACTGCTTGCTTTTTGGCACCCTGCTACTTAACTTTCTCTCTATGGACCTCTCCTCCCTCCATACCAGTAAGTTAATTCCCAGCCTTTCTCTCCACTAGACACAAACATGCTTATGCTATTTTATAAGATTTTATTTTGTTTTAATTTTGCAGTATCCCTATGTTCAAGTACTTGTGATAGTGTAGATAAGAGTAATTCTGACAAGAGGGCTTCTAGGCAAGCTTTTCTAATAAAAAGTGGCAGAGATATAGCCACTGCAGCTTTATTCCTTTTCTCCCAGCCTGGAATATATATATATATATATATATATATATAATGCTTGAAGGAGTAAATCCATCTTATAATATTAGATATCATATTAAAGACAGGCCTTTTATGGTATAAGTAAAAATGAGTGACATCTAGGAATACTTATTTTCAAACTTGTTATTATGTGAGAAAATATACCTCTATTTAATCACTAAGTAATGTTTTCCTTTTTATTACTTGTACTTTAACATATTCCTAACTGATATAGTGACTAACTCTAGTACTACAAAATGTTAAAAGTGATAAGGTACCTTAAGTGGCTGTAGTTGCCTTTCAAGACAAAATGAAGCCCTTGTAAGTATGCTTCCACCCTTCCCTCCCACATCCCATTGGAATCACAATTAAAATGCTCAAAAGAGAATAAATACATAAAAGTTACAAAAATAGGAGGGAGGGATAAAATAACATAAGAGAAGGCAATTCAAACAATTTCTGCAAGAGGGACAGCAATTTGTATCTCATTGAAAAATCAATCAGAATGGAGGAAGCTGCAGGTCAACACCACATAGGTAATAAGAATTATAGAAGTGGAAGTCATTCTTTTTCCCAGATCTCCATAAGGATTCCAAGTTTGGGGGAGGCAGTTACAGACATCAAGAATTGACTCTGAAATCATATTCAGCATAATGAATTAAGAACTATACATAGAATAGTTGAGTCAGATTTCCAACTAGAGCCACTCTGTGAATATAGGAAAAACTGGCAGTAAAACAATGGGCTCTACAAATATCTGAGATTTGTTATATAATAAAACATAGCAAATGATCCAGAATGGAGACCAAAGATTGGCATTTTCTAAAAACTCTCTAGATTGTACAGCTCAGGATTGAGAACCACTTGTTTAGAGAGAAAGAGATATACGAGTATAATTATATTATCATATAATATGATACATTATTGATGTCAGCTAATATCAGGTACTATGAGACCCTCTTAAGCAAACTGTGAGTATAGGAAAGGAATCGCTAAAGACCTGGCTTCTGAACAGTCTCCAATTATGTCACTCTCTCCTATTCTTCATGACTTTATGTTATCCTCTTCTAAGCTGAAGAGGGTTTGAGGGTTGAAAGAAAGATGGTCCTGACAAAATAGCATATTGTAAGTCATAGAAAGCAAAAGAGAGTGTGGCATTGATGGATAACTACCAGGCTTTGGGTATGGCTAGGGCATAAGGTATATAAATGAAATGACAGGAAAAATTACCAGAGAAGTAAATGGGGGCTAGATTGTAAGAGACATATGGGGAATTATGGAAGAATTTTATTCATGGGCGTGACACGATTGGGTTTGAATTTTAGGGAGACCGCTATAGGTACAGCATGAAAGTCGGTGAGATATGATGCAACAAAGTGTGGAGACTTTTGCAAATGGCTATAAAAGTGATAAAATGGTCTGAAGCAGAACAATTAGAGTGGAAGAAGGTGATGAATTCCAAACAATTTAAGAGAAAAAATTAACTAGTTTTGACAACACAATGAAATGGGAATGGAATGAAAAGATCACAAGGAGCAGGGAGGCCTATTGGAGAAGATGAGAAGAAACATTATTTCAGTGGAATAGATTTTGAGTTCAGTTTTTTTTTTTTTTGAGACAGAGTCTCACTCTGTTGCCTAGGCTAGAGTGAGTGCCATGGCGAGGTAAACAATTTGAATTATTTTGCCTTTTAATTTGGTAACTAACACATTAAAGATACTCTAAACTTAGGAATAGGAGATAGCTAAAGCTCATGGAATAGAGATGTTCCTCTAGAAGAGAAGAAATGGGTATAATACTAGGGAAATATGGCTAATGAAGATGACTTAAATTTGTATTGTTTAAATAATTTACATGAAAAATAAATATAAATTAATAATAACAAATTCTGAATGGTGAGAATATGAATATTTGCTATATTTTCTCTCTATATTTGTTCACATTAAAAGTATAGGAAAGCCATTATAAAATTTAT